AAATCCAGTACACCACGGGGTAGATGGGAACAGGCGGCGGGAAGCCCTCTTCTGTTTCGGGGAAAGGGGGGCGGGGGAGGCACAGAAAAGGCCGACCAAATGCCCCGGACGGGAGGCCTTCTGGTCACTTTACAAAATTAAGTTTTTTAGTCTGAATCTGCAGAAAATTTGTAAAGATAATAAGATGGGCGTGATCCCCACTATCGAAAACATAACTGGTCCAAATTTCAGCCCGAAATTCCAAATGCGAATCGAGTTATGCCCCGGACACCACGGCCATTGGCCCATTTTCACTATTTTGCTTGTAAAACCGTTAAATGGAAGAATTTCGCAAAACAAAAAAATGCGTGTCTGACAAATGTGTTTCTCCACCTTCATGCCAAAAATCAGCTCGAAATTCGGCCTCACGGCCGAGAAATCCTCATTACAGAAAACAGACATACTTTTCTCGCTTATAGGATAGGATTTCAGATCCATTGCCTTACTTGCTTTGCCCTTGAAATTTGATGTTCCATTCATAAAACATGCTAATTCCCCTCAAACACCATTGTTTTGCAGGACCGAGATACCGGCTTTTGCGCGTGTCCCTCCACGCATCGTCGTCGCGTCGTCAGAAAAGTGGGCGTGGCTGCCGTTCTTCTTCGAGGGGCTGACGACGAGAGATTGAGTGACGGAGAGAGACCACGGACAGCGAGAGACAGCGAGAGAGTACCGGATCGGTGGAGAGGGCGAGAGAGAGCGAGTGAGTGGCCCTTCTTGCTTGGTAGCCAATCCCTTGAGAAGACCAACAGAAAAGGCCCACCCCACGGGTCTCTGAGGCTTTTCCTTTTCCCCACTAAAGAACTCGTCCCTTCTCAAACTCACAAAACCCGACCGGCCCCCCCTCGGCTTTTCCCCTGTACTATTGATTGGCTACGGTAACTAGGCGCTTTTGCAAATTGTCGGGTTCTTTTGCATTATCCGGGGGAGCACTTTCTATCCAAATCCAGGAAGGTTTAATTTATATTATACCAAAATTGTGATTTTATCTTGTGTCAATATTGGTTCTTTTGCATTATAGGTGGGGGGTGCAAATTTTTGTATCTAGAAAGACCATGTAAATTATTTTTTTATTAATGTTTTTAACAAAATTTAAATGTAATTAAATATACGAAAACTATCTAAATAAGATGTCCAAAGTTAAACTGTGAAAATTTAGATAACAGCCGGCTATTTCGATATTTTTGTGTTTTTAATTTGTGATATGATAGTAATGTGAATAAAAATTTGCAATATTTTTAGGTTTAGAAATCTTTATTTATATTATGAAAATTGGTTCGTACGGAAAAGTTATCTCCCCCCGGCGATAATGAGAAAGCCCAAGTGCTATAAAAATTTGACGAAAAAAATTGCAGGAAAAATGTGTCGTCCAAGAGGCATTTATCAGATTTACTTTTCGCATGATTCCGCGACGAAAAGACCTCGCGATTAGCAGCTTGAGATTTCGGCGAAAAGAGAGCCCTTTCCTTGTTGGTTCTCTTTCCTAGGAACCATCACTTAAATTTAACTAAACGTATTTTATATAATTTTTATATGGACCGCTGTTGATATTTTTATAAATTGGATAAGTGGTAAGCTGCTGCTCTCTGCTTTGTTATAACCGTACCACTGCCCAATCAATCAGGTGTTTCATAGGAAGACCGATTCTCGGGGGTTAATTTTTTATCCATTCGGCGAGTGAAAATAGGTTTGTTATATTTTTTGAATTATCACTCATTTTTCGCGGTTAAAGGCGGCCATTAGATTTTGTCTATCGTCTACCTAAGTACTTTCACCCGACTAGAAGTAATAATATTTTTCATCATTTAGTGCTTTCGGAATTTTAACCTAGTCCTGAGAAAAATTTGCTGAAAAATGTTTCACCGATGGGCTATGTTTTGCTGATCGTTTCTATATTACTTGTCCGAAGAGGGAATAAATCTAATTCAGTGAATTATAAAAAGTTGGTTCTGGTCTGTGAATTATAAAAAGTTGAAAAATCGAAATGTCCAAGCCTAAAAATAGGATGTTAAATAGTAGAATCTTAAATTTTTACCGGCTAAAATTGCTTGATAAATAAAATAAAGGAAAGCGCATAAATTTTTAATTTTAACTTAATCCAAGAATGCCACAGTCTACTGATTAGATGAACTGGGCAGGCCCCGTTTTTCCATTTTTTATGAAACACTTTTTTAAAGCCCACGTAATAACTATTTTTGTCATGATTTGCGGCCGGAAGGCCGATAAAATATCCGAGCTGTAAAAACAAGGTTTTTTGGAAATGCGTGTTACACTTCTGCACAAGGACTTTTCATGATTAATCTCGGGAGTGTGAGCGTGAGAAACACCATCACTAATAAAGGAAGCTTTTTTAAGTGCTAAATATTTTGCAAATGGTGGCCAAAAAATTCAAAAACCCATCAAAAATAAGTTACCAAGTCCGTAGTTTCCCACTTGTTTTTCGTTTTACTTTAACGCCAGCTGCATATTCTGAACCATAAAATGTTTCAAGATCCATGCAACAACCGTAATTTCATGGCCATGCTATTCATTTTCAGAATGCGGCCCCGTGGTCGATGGGGCCTGGCCGTCGTCGCCGGCTTCTTTTTGGTTACTGTAACCCAGGCAGAGGTGGGTGAAAATTTGCATATTTTCAGAAAATACGGTTTTCCTATTGTGCAATATTAATCCCGGCTGAAACCGAAACTTAAAATTAACCTTATAAAATTTTATGTTTCTTGAAAAATACCTAGCATTTATTGGGATTTATATTTTAGTCGTCTTGCTGTTTTTTTTCTTCGACTATGTAGTTACTAAAATCCGAAAAATCCTTGAAGTGGCCTATAAAATCAATACATCTGTTATTTTCATTTTTATGTAATTAGAAAATTTCATAAAAAATAGCACGCTTAAAAACTTGGTAAATGGCTTTTTTGGTTAAGCATAAAATGTTTCAAAAATTCCATAAACGAAGAAAGAAAAATATTTACAGTCTTCTTCGACTGATGTTTGCTCGCAAATAATACGGTTTTAGAAATGCGCAAAACCGTGTCGGCCTTGCAAAACGCCGACAAATTGCGTGGAGCAGATTCCGGATTCGTGTGGATGTTGTAAGGTGAGTATCTCTCACTCCCGCTCTGCATCGCACTCTCTCTCTCTCTCTCTCTCTCTCTCTCTATCTCGCTTTCTCCCTCTCTCTCTCTCTATCTCTATCTCTCCCTCTCTATCTCTCTCTCTCACTCTCTCTCTCACTCTCTATCTCTCTCTATTGCTCTCGGCCGCACCGAGACCCCATTTCGATTGCGTAATCGATTCATAGCAGAACCATGGCCACCATTTGCCAACCCCTTTAAAAATCAACCCAAGATCAAAATTCATTTCCTAGCTCGACTTCTCCCTCCGGAAAAGCCGTGTTTGTTTGTTTGTCTGCCTGTCTGTCTGTCTCTCTCACGCTCTCTCTCTCTCTCTCTCTCTCTCTCTCTCTCCGCTTCATGTGTGCGCGGTAATTCGACCCGTTCTGTCAACAGGAGCCCTGCGAAGTCTTGTCCCATTTTTCGGCTTTTGCTGTTTTTCTCTTATTTTCTCAAATTCCCCTGCTCTCTAGCTTCTTTTGCAAATGCTACGTGGTGAACCTATGTCCGGTGGAAGGGGCCGGCGGTGGAAAAATGGAAAATGAGGGGAAACGCTGGTTTTTAGGGGTTACTAAGCTTAAAAGTCCATGAAATCTGCCAGAAACAACAATTTAAATTTATCCACTACGGAAGATAATTATAATATTTTCCGTGTTCTGAGCCAGGTAAAACACGAGAAATTAAGTATGCTAATTTTCCGCTGTGCTATGGGAAAGAAAATGTATGTTGCAAATAAGTCCGAAGTAATGGAACCCAAAAATTGCCTAATCTATCGATACCGAAGATTTTTCGCGAATCAACGATCGGATCAGGATAAGTCGATAATTAATTAATCGGTTAAAACTATTAAAACATATAGCAGGAAAAATGGGCGCAAAAGAATAATTCAATTTAATTGGAGTTTGAAGTTGAAGAGAAGAAGAGAAGAAAATCGAGTTTAAAGGGCAAAAAAACATGTTACGTAAAAATACTTTATTTGAGAAGGAGTATTTAGGCAATTTTAGGATGTCTGGTCCGTTTAAATAAAATCGAGAGCTGTTATTACGGATTTTCGGTTTTTACTGGGTTTCCATATACAGGGTGTCCCATAAAAAAGCACCCCTCCGGCATTTCGCCGTATTACATCCCAACAGTCCCAAAATTGGACTGGAGGTGTATCAGACCCTAAATAACCACAATCCTGACTTATAGCCCGATCGCTACAGTAGTTTTCGAGTTATCGTCAAAATACTGTTTTTTTTACGCGGTTCTTAACAGTTTTTTCGGCTATCTTTTTGCACTTTGCATCGATTTGCATCGACTTCCGGCTGCGAATCCCTAATTTCGCTTAATATCGGGGGTGACTTTGTGTTACAAAAATTGTTTGAAATCAACGGTTATTGACCAATTTTTATCAGAAAAAAGCTCTAGGGGTAAAGCAGGCTTGTCGCTTCATTTTCACTTAATAATCGAAGGGTCGATTTCGACGAAAACCATATGAAAAACGGATAATAAAGTTTATTATTGTTGTATCTCGAAAATTACTGTAGCTGGCGGGCTATAAGTCAGGATTGTGGTTATTTAGGGTCTGATACACCTCTGGTCCAAATTTGGGACTGTTGGGATGTAAGACGGCGAAATGCCGGAGGGGTGCTTTTTTATGGGACACCCTGTATAAAATCGAACGCTATTTGTGTGTCGCGAACCGTAAAATATGTTTTACAAAAAATATGGCCTTCGGCGTTGGGTTTATGTAAAATTATCTCGTCGTGAGTTTGGGCCCTAAAAATGCAACAATTGCGCGTTTTTATTGATATTTTTACAATTTTATTAAGGACTTTAAAAGAGTAATATGAAAACAATGTTTCAGTTATGCGTGGTGGGCGCCGGCCAACCGTGCGGCCCTTCGACGGCCGCCTGCAGCTCGGGGCTATTTTGCAGTTTCTCGGGCACACGGCCAAACATCGGCACCTGCACTTGTGAGTTTTAAAAACATAGGTATTTTAATTACTTTTTCTATTTTTTAAGCCGATATTTGTTACTGATGAATTCTCGAATATTGTTCGGCCCTCTTCATTTTTAAACTAAGAATTTTTAAAATTTTAAAATATGTTTCAGAAAAATTTAAAAGTATTGATTTATACATCGATTTTACTTTTTCGTCCTCGTAAAATTTCCTAAAAAAAATGTATGTAAAAAATCCTTTTTTGGGTTGAGGTATTCATCTCTTATTTGACTGCCTGGCTTGCTGCAACCTAAAAAAAGAAGAAAATAAAACACTAAAAAGTATTTTCCTTTCGCAACCAATGGGGCCTTTGACGAAACATTGGACGAAGATATGTCGTGCGCCGATTAGTCGGTTTATTTTTTTGCTTAACTAGTATTTTGAGCAAAACACTTTATCTTAATTCCAAAAAATGAAAAATTACTTTTCGAAAAACGTGTTTCAGGAAATTCATGGCTTTGATGCGACGAAATCGTAATAATCATTCCTGGTCCTCACAACGTAACATTTTACACGTGTTTTTTTCAAGCATTTTTGAGACGTCTTTCTTTAGTGACGAATTCACGCTCTTGAAATAGCTCGTACTTCCTGGCTGGCTTATACACCTTTTTCAAAAGCCTTCAAGGTTTCTAAAACTAAGCTCAGAAAGGTACCGTTTTATTGTTCGAAATTCAGAAATAAATTGAGTAATCAGTAAAAAAGTGTTGTGATCCTAGCTTTCACAAGGAACACACACTTCGTGTCGACAATCGGATATCTAATCGACACGGAATCTTGTAATAAACCTTTATCCCGATGTAGTCGCCAACAACGTCTTTCTTGATCACAATCCTTGGAATGAAGAACAATCGAGGGATCAACAGCCAAGCGGGTTGCAGAAAAGCCGGATAAATCAGAATGACCAAACGGGCCTAAACTCTGGTGGGGCTGGAAAGGGTCGGGAGACTACAGGGTCCAAGTGTACATAGTAGTCTCGCGGTAAGACACATTACGGCGGTAAAGGCCAGCGCCCACAACAAAAAGTAAGTAATAATTTTCCCGTCGTAATAAATTGAGTAATTGATCGAAATATTGCTCAGCCGATCCACAGCATTAGTAGTCCCAGTTTTCGTCTGACTAGTATAGTCAGCGAAACACTCGATCTCTAACCCCAGAAAACGAAAACTTTTTGCGAAAAAAAACGTGTTTCTTGATACTCATGGCTGTGGTGCGACCAAATGGTAATAATTCCGCCTGGGCCATTGGATTTTCCTACTTTCTTCAGTATCGAAATTCGCTTTTAAATCGCTCCTTAGCTCTCCTTTTTCAAATACCTTCAACACTTAACTAAACTCAAAAAGATACTGCTTTTATTGCTCGAAATTCCGAAAAAAATTGAGTAATCAGCAATAATAAGGTAAGTAACAATTTTCTTGTCGTAATCAATTAATTGATCAAAATATATGCGCAGCCAATTGACAATACTGGTAGTTCCATTTTTTGGCTGACTAGTATAGTCAACTATACACTTTATCTCTAATCTCTAATCTCAAAAGCGAAAACTATTTTTCGAAAAAAAAAAAAACGTGTTTCTTGACACTCATAGCTGTGGTGCGACGAAATGATAGTAATTCTGCTATGACTGGATGCGACGCAATAGCGATAATTCCTTTTGTCCAGACTCGGTAACATGCTTTTGAAGTGTTTTTAAAGCATTTTTGAGACGTCTTTCTTTCGTACGAAATGTATCCTTTTCAATAGCTCCTACATTCTAGCGGACTTTCCAGATCCTGGCTGCGTTATGCACTTTTTCAAAAACTTTAAAACTTTACTAAACTCAAAGAAATAGTGTTTTTATTGCTCGAAATTCAGCAACAAAATAAGATTTTTGTCGTCCGTCGTAACCAATTGAGTAATTGGTCGAAATATATGCTCATCCGATCAGCAGCATTCGTCCTTCCATTTTTTTTATTTACTAGAATTTGGACCGAAACACTTTAACTCCTATTCCAAAAAATGATTTTCGAAAAATCGTCTTTCATGAAGCTCAGGGCTTTGTTGCGACGAAATAGCGATAATTCCTTTTTGGTCAGACTAGGGTAGCATGCTTTTGAAGTGTTTCTTAAAGCATTTTTGAGGCGTATTTCTTTAGTACGAAATTTATCCGTTTCAACAGCTCGTCATTCCTGGCTGACCTTCCAGATCCTGGCTGGCGATCCATCCTTTTTCAAAAACTTTCAAAACCTGAAAAACTAAACCCAAAGAAATATTTTTTTATTGCTCCAAATGAGGCAATAGCATTTCCCTGTCGTAATCAATTAAATTGTTCTAGATTTACGACGTACCTGCACTAGCCCCTCCATTTTTTTGATTGAGTATTATTTTGGGCGAAACACTGAGCTCTAACTTAAACAAAACGTGTTTCTTGTAACACATGGCTGTGGTGCGGCGAAATAGTAATAATTGGTTTTGGGCCCGGGATTCTTTCTTTTTCTACCTTCTTTAGTTACGAAATGCACCCTTTTAAAATTCTGGCTGGCTTTCCAGATCCTGGCTGGCGTATATCTACCTTTTTCAAAAACTTTGAAGCTTTTCTAACCGCAAAGAAATAATGTTTTTATTGCTCGAAATGCAGCAACAAAATAGGATTTCCCCTTCGTAATCAAATCAATAATTAGTCGAAATATAGGCTCATCCGATCAGCAGCATCAGTACTTCCATTTTATTTATTTACTAGGATTTGGTGCGAAACACTTTGTCTCAAACGACAAAATACGGAAGCCTACTTCTCGAAAAAAACGTGTTTCATGAAACTCATAGTTGTAATGCTGCGAAATGCTAATAATTGTTCTACGTCCGTAATATATTTTTGTATTTTTTGTATTTTTCGGTAATGAAATGCGGAATTGGTATCATAATGTCGAAATTCATAATGTCGAAACTCATAATGTCGAAATTCACAATGTCGAAATTTCATAATGTCGAAATTTCATAATGTCGAAATTTCACAATGTCGAAATTTCATAATGTCGAAATTTCATAATGTCGAATGTCAGAATGTCGAAATTCAGAATGTCGAAATTTACATAGGCTAATATTACCGGTGAAACCGCCAAATCCTAGCCAAAAAATTTTTTCCACATCCTATTTTTCAATCTTATTTCACGACAACATTTTTTTGCCCAGAATTCGGGGACTTTACCGGGAATTTTAGCTTATGTAAACTTCGACATTATGACATATCGACATTCTGACATTTCGACATTATGAAATTTCGACATTATGAAATTTCGACATTGTGAATTTCGACATTATTAGTTTCGACATTATGAATTTCGAGATGTTGAAAATAAGCCTGAAATGCGCCCTTTAAAATAGCTAATACTTTCTGGTTCGCTGCTTAGATTCTGGCGTACGACTAAAGGAAACAATCTTTTTAAAATTCGGCTTCAAAACTAAACTTGAATTTGAATATTGGTTTTTATCGCTTCAAAAAGATCTCCATTCGCTTAAAATCGATTATACTCCTTGGGCTTTTCATTTTAATTGATTGCTTTTGATTTATTCATCATTTTGTTTTTCTGCGCTTTTGCTCTAAGCGAAAAAGCCTGTCGTAAACCGGGCGGATTGTCCAAGGGCCAGCCACGCGGGGGGATTGTTTGTTTTTGGCGTTGTGTGGTCTCCGTGGAGCCCTGCTTTTCCCCCAGCCGATCGAAGGGCCTTTTTTGAGGGAATGGTGGAAATAACACCCGTTTAAAATGTAAAAACTAAGGTTTGCGAAATTGCAAAATTCAGGGTTTTTTATTTGATCGCCAATTCCTGGGGTTTTTAAATAGTATTCTAATTTAATTAAATTAAAATAGCTTTTTCCATAATCAAAATTGAATGTCGCGTTGCCGAAAAATTCTAAAAAAAATTTGAGAATCACAATGATTTTTTGGCTGCTAACAGAGTTCAATAACTCCGTGTTAATTCCATAAACATCATGAATTCTTGGAACATTTTACCTTAAAAAGCCTACCACGCCTCTTCTTTGACAAAAAAATAGAGGCAAAAGCGTCAGAAATATAATGTTTCGAAATTTTTTGGATGCAATTTATGGCTGAAGGACCCAATTGAAGCGGCTTTTGTTTCACCTAGTAAAATTAAAGAAGCCACGTTTTAATTGGAGCCTGCGATCATTTATTAGTGGATTTGACATTATTATGACAAGTTATTAGCAGCGTAGCGAAATGATCAGCATTAAAACGCATCCCGGATTAAATTACTATGAGCGTCAAAGAAGCTGAAAAACATGTGAAACATGCCTTCCTTTCGATCCCTATTACGAACGAAATTTATTTCCACACGTGATTTTCGTTTAACTAGCGTCGATTCGCCGATTATGGCGACCGTAAGCTGGATAACATTTTATTTTCATGAATCTATTTTAGTTGTAAAAATCTGTTTCGCATTGTGTGCAATACAGTTTTGTGGCAGTTAATTTAATCCGATAATCGTTACTGCGAAAATTCTGAAAGCCCATTTCTTCAAATTTGCCATAGAAAATCTGAAAAATTGATGAGATCTCACTTCAGTTGATTTTGGGCTGGTTTACCCGTTTCGGTGACAACACTTTTTTGATCCACCCATTTTTATTTAACAAACAAATGTTTCGGGCTGTGATGGAGGCAGTGTGCTGGTGAGCAACTTAATCATGGGACCTTCCGTATCCTACCTTATAATTTTGGGGTGTATCTCTGTGTGTGTGTCTGTGGATGTCATTTTCGAGGCCCGATTTGAGGGCCTTCCCGTGCATAACATGTCCTAATTCGCCGTCGCCCAGGGGAATCAACGCTCCTCTTTCCGATGGCGTTTTCATAATCCCGATAAAATACAAGTTTATAAAGTTAAAGCCGGTTTTATTCATTTTTGGGGCCCCTGAGGGCTAATTTGCATAATGTGAAAAATACAAATTTCCTCATTCTTGCAATTTGCCCGTGCGTGTGTGGTCGGTGGGGAAAGGGGTCCGAAGGACCCGAGCTATCGGAAAGTCAAATTTTTCATGCAAAGGCCCAATTCCAGCGCCCAAGGCCCGCGAAACGGGTTTTGGGCGCTGGTCTTTTATTAATCTGAAGCTCTTCAATAACTTTCTCTGGCAGTGGTGGTGGTGCGATTTGGTATCATTTCGGCGAAATTTCATAATTGCGAAATTTGTATGCAACGGAAACGGGGGTTTTCCGGGAAATCAGCTTACGTAGGTTACCTAGGTGCTTCGACGTCCCTGAACGTGCCCTTTAAGCCTGCGGCGCTAGCTACGGACTTTACTCTCCAAATTGGGCCTGCGGCGCAAGGACCGGAGTAAAGGAGCCATTCTTTGGCCTGCGTCGCCAGAGCCAGCGTTGCGCTAGAATTTGTAAGCCTGCGGCGCTAGTTACTGGTGTTTCTCCAGGCTTTGGCCTGCGGCGCGAGAGCCTTGGGAGGGCGATTAGAGCCCAAATCCATTAGGATCCCGAGATATCCTCTGAACAAACCTTTTATCGACCAAAATGTTAAAGGTTTTTCACTATTTTGCTTGTAAAACCTTTAAATGAAGGAGTTTAGAAAAACAAAAAAATGCGTCACCGACAAATGTGTTTCTCCACCTCCATGCCAAAAATCAGCCGGAAATTCGGCCTGACGGCCGAGAAATCGGCTGTAAAGAAAACAAACATACTTTTCTCGCTTATTGGATAGGATACTTTACACCCCTGTAGCACTACAGGGAGCAGAGAGAGTATTTGGTAGCCACCAGGTACTTAGACTTTCCGACTGGTGGTCCTGACATCATTATAATTTAATTTTTAAGGCGGGTCTGAAATCGGATCTTTGGGCTTTCTGGCAAGGATGCACTTTTCGTGATTGGAAAAAAATGTTTTGGACGATTTCTTAACTGGGCTGTCGTCGATACTGCCAACGGGGCATGGGTGGCTTTGATTTTTCGTTTGTCTTTAGCTTAGTTTTTCTCTTTTATTTTAATGATCGCCACCTGGCATTTAATTCTCATTCATAGCTTCACAGAAAGATTAAATTTGAAAATCGAGGCTAGAAAACATATGTTTCAAAAATGATTTGGAAATGAAGTATCAGAGTTTGAGGCAATGTATGACGGATTTGAACGCTTTTTATCACTAGATTATAGGGCACTGTTATTAGGGTTATATTTATTTTCTATTTTGACTATGCCTCTCATGTGTTGTTGCTTTTTCTATTTATTTTGTATATATTTATTCTCTTTAATTAACGAACACGAGGAATTAGTTAAAATTCGAAAATTGTTTATCCATCTCTCTCTCGCTCTCTCACTCACTCACTCACTCACTCTCTCTCTCTCTCTCTCTCTCTCTCTCTCTCTCTCTCTCTCGCACTCTCACTCACTCACTCACTCTCTCACTCTATCTTTCTCTCTATATCTCTCTCTCTCTCGCTCTCTCTCGCTTTCTCTCTCGCCGGTAAAATATGTTCGAATTTTCTGGGGACCAGTTTCCGCAAATATCTTCCGCTACGCCCACACCTATTTCTTCGAATTTTTTTGCGTTATACTTACGAACAGAAAGAGGCGAGAGAGCGAAAGAGAGAGAGAGCGAGAGAGAGAGAGAGAGAGAGAGACTCGGTTTACCCATTAGCCACCACCACCCGGGGTTTACCCATTTGTTTGCCAACTCGGCGACCCGGTGGCGCCGCTTTGTAAATTGTGACGGGTCGAGTCCGGAGGCTTTTCCTTGACAATAGCGGGGTAAGTTTAAGGGACCAAAGGTTTTTCGAAAACTCATTAAATCCGCTCTACCTTAAATAGCCTTAAATAATATTTTTCGAAGCGTCGTTAAAGCCATATTGAAATGGAAAACTATCCGAAAAAAATTTTTAGAGAAATTCAATTCCAGATTTTTGGCAAAAATCGATGTTATCTATTTTTTTTATTGAAAACTTGTTAAGTTTTACATTTAGGAATAGTAAAAAGACAGTTTAAGAGCACCTCCTCTATTTATATATTAACAAAAATTGTGTGTTAGGGAAAAATAGCTTCCCCGATAATGCAAAAGCACCCTTTTAACTGAATTTTAATAAGATTTTTACGATATTTTTAGAAAACACAATTTAAAAAAGTGCGTGGTCGGAATGAGGTGAAACAGTTTTAGCTTTTAAAAAATGTATGTGAGTTTCCACAAAGCTAGTTTCGCGTTCATTAAATGATCCACCCGGACTCTTGCCTTAAAAAATTGTGAAACATTTCGAAAAGACAATCACCGCCTCTTTCAATCAGATCAACCAGTCGACAATAAGGCAGCCCTAAAATCTAACGGCATAGCTTCACCTTTTTTTATGGAGGAATCATTTTTTTTCACTTGGAAATTGATACATCTAAAGCTTTCTGAAACTACTTTTTAAACCCCGATTTTGCTTGCATAATATTTTGCATTTGGATTTTTGAGGAATAGAAGAGAGAAAGTATTGAGAATTTAAGAGTTTCTGATGATTTTCCTAAGAAAGGGTCTTTAAAAATTAGAATTCTTATGTTTTTTGGCGAAAAAGCGCATTGTTTGCATGAAAAACGCCGAAAACGGGCAAGAAATACCGAGATTACGAAAAGCGAAAAGGAAAGGCTTGTCAGCTCGTCCAGAGCCTTCGATAGATACCTAAATCGTAAAAACGAAAGAAATTTTGTCTACGTTGCATGGGATCATTGAAATACTTGCGCGTATTTTTGTGCGGTGAAATGTTGAAACATTCCAATCTCTTGTGGTCATTGAAATTCCAGTGATTTTGAATTTTTAGATTCAGGTAACGCTAGCATTATGGCAGTCCTCACACATTTATGTATCAAAAATAAGTGGAACCTGTTTATTTTTCCCGCTTGCAGCCTATCAAATCAATATTCCGGTACGGAACCGCGGTGGAACTTCCTAATTGTCAAAAACTTTATTTAGCTTCCTTGAAGGACGAAACCTTTTTTATTGCATTTTTTTGTTTTTATCTTTTCGAAGCCTGATACCACGTATTAAAGATTTTCTTAGCAATGGTTTCTGGGCGCTTCTTGAAACATTTTTCGGTGCCAATTGGATGGTGGCGCGGAGAAAAATAAAGGGGGTACTCATTATTTCTGTATTTTAAATTACTGTCGGTTTTAGCAGGTACCGTTCCATAGAGCGTCGAAAATAACGAAGAAAATCAATTATAGCCCGAAAAAAGGCAGGGCGACTTTTTATCCAATAAAGAAAAACGTGATCAAAAATGAGCGGGGACGTCAGATTTGTAAAACTTTGCGGGATTTTGTGAATGCTAACCGATACAACGACAAAAAGATAATAAGGGATTTATATAGCCCGAAAAACAAAAGCTTAAAACCATTTTTATTTCCCGGAACACTGTGAGTGTCCACAGTAGCCTGTGCGACTTTTTTATAATTCAATGTTTCATACTACATCCTTTTAAAAATGAACTTTTCTGCCCTTAATTGATAATCCTTTTCTTATCGAAACACTGTGAGAGTTCTCAGGTAGCCTGTACCCTCTTTTTGAAAATCCAATGTTTCATACTACATCCTTTTGAAAGTGAGCTTTTCTGCATTTAATGAACAGTTGTGTACAATTCGTAATTAATGCAAAATGGGATTTTTTTCATATTACGTTATTTGAGATTTAACCACCAAAATAAATTTAAAGACATTTGATACTGTATCATATATGCCTAAATTATCAAGTTGACTGCAGGAAGTTTTCAAAATATTGTGGAGGTTTCTTAGAATTAAAGTCGTTGATTAAATGATGAATTTTTGATGAATTTTTCCTAATAAAATTGCCGATGTTCTGACCCTCCTCCATCCATAAATTAGTAAAACATTATTTTAAAAATCAAATGTTTCCAACTTTTCCGGAGGACGTCTAGCAGAACAAGAAATAATCTTGCGTTTTCCATTCAATTGATAAAATCAACTTTTTTAAACACGTTTTCTAAATTTACTACCAGATTATTCGGCTAAATTTGACCATCTGGGCGCCCGTCACAAAATCTGATGGGCGGCTGCGGGGTCGGATTTTCCGAGAGTGGGGGGATAATTACTCCCCAAAAATTGAGATGCTAATTAGGGCATCTGGCATCTGACCCGGGGAGAAATTTAGCAGCTAGCTGGGGGTCAAAAAATAAAGAAAATCCGTAAGCTTTTTGAAAAAAAGTAAATAACAAAAAATATATGAGAATTTTTATATCAATTTTTTTATTGAATTATTTATGTTAAATCCATGGCGAAAAAGCCAGAAAACGAAAACAGCCTTGCCTTCCAGGTTCCTTTAAAGAAATTCCACTTTGTTTCGAGAAACTTTCGCGAATTTGAGAATCTTCAAATCATCAGAAACTGATTAACCTCAAGGAAGCATAAAACTTTAAATATTTTTTGGAAAATTGAAACCAATTTTCCATGTTTTTTTTGTAATATCGAATCAAAGAAATAATAAAAAGAAAAAGCTGAATAATAACGATTTTGCAACGCATCGACCATTCATGCTTGAAAAAATCCATCGCCCTAAAATATTCATGGAACATTTTTTTTGTCGAAAATCGCTGTCCGAAATACAGTACAAATTTTACCGCGCCGCGACGCGCAACGCCTGTGACCAGCTTTCAATTGCGTATTGCATAAAAATGGCTTCAACAATTCCACAGCCTTGCCTTCCAGGTTCCTTTAAAGAATTTTGACTTACAAAGGCGCTGCAATGATAATCCGAAAACTGGAACTTCGATTTTCTCCATTTTTTTTTAATAGCGAATCGAAAAAGTAATAACAAGGAAAGACCAAATAATAAAATGTTTTTTTAGTGAACTGGAAATATATATTTGCAAAGAGGCGAAAGCGCTAATGCATCCTGAAAAAATCCCTTGCCCTAAAAAAATTATGAAACACATTTTTTTCGCGGAATTCTCTAAAAAATCCTTGTTTCACAATTTACACCAGCAGGGTAGAAAAGTGGCTCCTTATTCGGGCATAGTCGTAAACGTATAAAAAATGGCAAAACGACACGAAATAATGTTTAAAAATTGCAGCATTGGGACGGGCAGCCGGTTGCGACGGGGAGAGCTGCGATGTGGTCGCGCATCCGGAATGTCCGGCCGATTCCTCACTACAGAACGTCGATCATCCGGCTGACGGTTGCTGTGAATTGCCAGGGAAATGCGTCTGCGATCTTAAGGTATCCAATTTAGGTTCTTGTGCATTATCGGGGGGGGGGAACTCTTACATTAGGAACCAATTTTTCTAATTTAATAGTGAAAGTGTTTCTAAAAATTTTTTACTACTCATAGACGTAAAAACTTTACAAAATTCTATTAAAAAATGGCAAAATACCGATTTTTCGAACTAAATGTCGACTTTCTAGAAGACTCTAATCTAATCACCCCCCGTTAATGCGAAAGAACGCAAACTAAACAAGCTTGATTGTACTAATTGCTTACCGATCATCCTTAACAGCCAAATTCTTTGAAACTCCAGTTTTACAAATTTGTTTTCCGAGAAGTCGGCCAATAATTTTGGAATTTTCAAGCATTTTAGATTTATATTTTAATTTTCGAATATTTGAAGCGATTCTTCGAAAAAGCTATGGCTTTTTACATTAGGCAAGCCTAAGCCATTGCGTGCAAGAGTTTCAGCAGTGGAAGGCGATTCTACGAAACATTTTTCTAAACCCGTTTAAATTTTTCCTTTTTGCTTAGGAGCTCAAAATTCGGAGCCTGAATTTAATTAACAATGCTATTAATAATAATTAAAATGTAAAAAACCTGTTTGAGGTAATAATCGGAAACAACGGATGAAAAATTGTGCTTAGAATCTGCCGTTTCTTCTCGTATCTTTCTGAAACATGTTTCAAAAATAAAACTAGGAAAACGATAGCCAAATGACATTGCAAAATTAGTAAAAACTTTCTAAATTAATACAATCCAATAAAATATTATTTTTATCTTTAAGTAATATATTTTATAAATGATTTCATTTGTAAATATAAATAATTAAATTTTTCCGATTTAGCGTTGCCTGTCGGAAGTGCCGGTATGTGAGGATGGGCTGGATCGGGTGCTCGTCGAAAATGGAAGGGAAGAACCAGGGAGATGCTGTAATAAATATGAATGCAGGAAAAAGGGTACGGTAGTTGACAGTATTTTTAAAACAATAAAAAATCAGCCGAAAAAAACTTAATAAAAATTCATATTATGACTCTAGAAACATCCAGTCAACGCGATTTTTCTTACTAGCTATTCTATTCTAATAATTATTCCGAGAAAAATGTACTGAATTCTGAATTGTTTTGAAACATTTTGATCTTCATAACCTTCCTTCTTTTTTACGGTAATAACAAAACAATATTTAAAATTATTGGTACTTTTGCATTATCGGGGGGCGGGGGGCGCGGAGGTGGTTTAGTATAGTAAGAACAAGTTTTTAATAGTTCTTAGTAAAATGTAACTATATTTCAAGTGGAAGACTTATCTAAAAAACCAAGACGTTTTGAAGTTTTGGCCGAAAAATCGATTATCCTTTTATTTTTAATGGAGCTTTAGATTTTTACGTCTACCAATAAGAAAAACGATTTAGAAAAACCGCCTGTGTTATACTAGAAAAATTGTTTCAAATTGTAAGAAAACTTTATGGACGAATGTTTCTACAATTTTTAAAAATGATGTGCTTTTTTACAGCTGTTGTCTAGAAAAAGCGTTACAAACCATTTTTTCGGAGAAACATGTTTTAAAAAGTTTCAAAAAATGAACACGCAGCTGTCTTCTTAATTCTAGCAAACATAAAGACTTTAGAAAAGCACTGCGCCTCAGTGAAATGCCCTCGACTGCTGCTCGATTCGACCGGAAATGAGGTGATAGTTGTATTTATTTATCACTAATTTATTTTATATTATTTTTATGGTTAGCAAGTTTTTATTAAACTGCGGTGAAAAACCCCAGCTCAAAAAGTCCGATTATTCAAAGACCCGTCCTCGGGTTCTTTGAAAATTGATGTAACATGTTTTCACGTACCACAGCGAATTGCTTTTTTCGTAATCGATTTGCACGATATTTTTTATCGAATTTTTAGTTATTAAAATACAAGATTTATAGCTAACTTAGGCTTAGGCGGGGTGTTTTTATAAGCTTTTCAGTAATTATTATTAACTAAGTAACAAAAAACATTTCAAAATTTTCGAAATTTATGATTATTTAGTTCTGTTATGTCTAAAACTTTGTAAAATTTATACAACCTATTTATACGAATCGACTAGGTGTCAAGAATAAGAACGCTATTATGGAGGATCCGTTTTCCGATTTTTTAAGGTTTGATGAAACATTTTTTGCCGCCGACTCGAAACAATTTTTTGTGGAGGCGTGATGTTTTGGGCCGTCTATTTTCCAAAAGTAAAATTGTCTATTCAAGAATGTCTCAAAATTTGTAAAATTTATACAACCTATTTATGCAAATCGATCAGGTCCAAGAATAGGTACGTTATTACTCATGCACCGGTTCTCGGATATTTTGAAATTTGATGAAACAATTTTTTGTAACCGCTTGATGATTTGAGCTGCATATTTTTCAAAAGTAACATCGCTTAATACCATACGCGAAAAAAAGATTTCACATATAATTAAAATAGATATACATAAATATATTTATTTTGTTTAAGGTGGTTGACGAAGATTGCCCGGAAGATTCCCTCCGGCCGCCCACCCATATCACGCCGGGCAGTTGCTGTCCGATTACGCCAGAGTACGTTTACGTTTCAAAGACATTGGCAAATTAAGAATTTATGTCTTTGGTGGACATATACAGGGTGTCCCAAAAAAAAACGAACCATCTGGCATTTTGCCGTGTTACATCCAATCGGTCCCAAATTCGGACCAGAGGTGTATCAGACCCTAAATAACAACAATCCTGAATTATAGCTCTGTAGCTACAGTAGTTCTCGAGTTATGGCAAAAACAAACTTTATTTTGTATTTTTCATAGGGTTTTCGTGGAATTAGACCCCTTTAATATTAAGTGAAAATGATCCGGAAGGCCTTCTTTACCTTAAGAAATTTTTTCCAGTGTAAAATTAATTAAATAAGCTTCGATTTAAGCGATTTTTACAACGCAAAATTGCCCAGTTGTTAAGCGAAATTAGGGATTCGTAGCCGGAAATCGATGCAAATCGATGCAAAGTCCAAAAAAAGATAGCCGAAAAAACTGTTTAAAATTGCATGAAAAACAGTATTTTCGTTATAACTCGAGAACGACGATAGCTACGGGGCTATAAGTCAGGATTGTTGTTATTTAGGGTCTGATACACCTCTGGTCCAAATTTTGAGCCGATTGCATGTAACACGGCGAAATGCCAGATGGTTCGTTTTTTTTGGGACACCCTGTAGAACCTTCGACCTACAGTACTCCCGAAAAAAACATGATTTTTCGATCTAGATCAAATTTTTTCCAAAATATTAATAAACATTTCATTTAAGCGTAAAAAACTAATTTACTGATTTTCTATGTCGTGAGATTTTGAATCCCTGAATTCTTTGTTTGCAGTACCGCACAAAACACTTTTTTCTGAGTTTCGGATTCTAATATGTACCAGGTCGTGCAATTGAGATAATTGAGGGACTGGCAGAGGAAAATACATTTTATTTGTATTTTGGAGATTTTCAAAATTTAATAGCTTCATCTTCCAGAAATTTTTGTTACGTAAAAATGTGTTTTATCGAATTATAATATTTAATGCTTTTGGCGGTCCCGTAGGCGGTAAACGCGTCAGAAAAACAATGTTTTAGCCAAGCATGATACAATGTGACTTGTTACCTAAATAATCCGGTCTATTCTTCTATCGTAAAACTTTAATACTGACGCCAAAACAATCACTCGTGTTCAGATGCAAATGCCGTGCCTCAATTTGCCGACCGGCCCATTGTGATGATGGAGAGCGCATTAAGGTAAGCCATCGGGTTACGCTTGAAAAATCGGTTAGAATATTTTTTCCCGTTTTCGTAATCGTAATTCTTGATTTTGTAATTTTTAAAAACCTTTGTATAATTTAATCGATGGCCCTATACCCTGATAAATTAAAGCTAACGAAAAATTTGCGCCAGGAGTTCAAATTTGACGCGTTGTAAGATAACGCCTGAAAGATTTTTCGAAAAAATTATGTTGCACCAAAAATTGGTTAAGCAAAATTTCGTGACAAGGGATTGGTACCGAATATCTCCGACAAAAATGGCTTCAAAATTAATTCAATTGTATTGTTCATCAATTGTAGAAATAAAATAATAAATTATGAATTTAATTTAATTATATAAATAATAAATCAATTAATTGCAGGATTTGCTATCATAAATTCGAAATTTCGCACTCTGAGATTTCGACATTACCAAATTTCCACATTTTGAAGCCATCATCGCCGTATAATTCACGGTGGATCCACGCATGTTTTCCATTGAACCGACAAAAATTCTTTTAAAGAATTACGTGGCACGAAACATGGGTTTTGGAAAATTTTAGAGTTGTTGACTCCGACATTCACACTTTTGAGTTCAATAATTTTGACGATGCGTTTCATTTGTGTTGATCCTTGTAACGAAAATTTGCTTATGAGCTCAGCTTTTACCTGTCGATATATTGGTCCATGAAAATTCGTAATATCAAAAATCAGTACATTAAAATTTTTTGGAAAAAAGGATGTTCCAGCAAATATTAATATCGAAGCATTTCATTTAGTGAGAATTAAATTTCTCATAAACGAAAGAATTTATAAAAGAATTCAATATTTATGTAGTTTTCTTTGTTACGTTTTACTAGGGGAATTTCGCGACAAATTCGCGACACGCAACGCAACGAAAATGCGATGTGCGTTGCGTTTCGCTGGTGGCATAATCTTGTATGTATCCCCCGAAACCATAATAATGGAAAGATAATACTCCAAAAGGCAGAAACAAAGGCAAACATAACTACGAAAATGGTACTGTCGAAAATCATAATGCCGAGATTCATATGTCGAAATTTGATGATTTCTAAATGTCGTAATTTCAAAAGTCAGAACGTCGAAATTTTTGCATAGCATTCGGGGCTTTTCCGGGAAAAATACCTTATGTAAATTTCGGCATTGTGAAACTTCGATCTTGATTGAAAAAACTGATTCCAAAAACAGGTTTCAGCACACAGTGGCTTGCAGCAATCCTTAAAATTAATAGTGATAGGATGGATACACCATACTTTTAGTAGGTTTAATTGCCATAAATTTCAGGTGATTCGTAAGGGAAACGGAAGCCCGGGGCGCTGCTGCGATATTTGGGAGTGCGAACGAGCCGAGACTATGGTAAGTAGCCTAAAAAATGCGGCTTTTCACCATGTACCATCCAGCAGAATTAACACTGCTGATTCCTATGCAAAGCCAGAAATGTTTAAAACATTTTCTCTAAATTTGAAGAATGCGATTCCGCGATTTTCACGATTGGTGAGGCACCAAGTTCAAACGATTATTGGCTAGTTGCCGAACCGGACCCAATTTTCAGAAACATTTTTTATTTTCGTTTTTTTTGGGAACGGAATCAAAAAGCTTTATCTAGCAAGTAAAATCTAAAACATTTTTGGCTGAATTAGAAGAAATTAGGTGCGGTTTTTCCGCGTGTTTGAAATGCTTTCAGTCTGACTAATCTTTGACAATTTCGATATTTCTTACAAAATATCTGGAACGCCATTCGAAAATGGAAATGAAAATTCCGAAAATGGGCTAAGAAGTGTTTTAATTCCAACCCAAAACAATCTAAAATAAAATAGTTAACAAAAAAATATGCAAAATTCAGAAAACCTGTTAAAGAGCAATTTAATGTTATAATTTACAAAAAAAAACACAAAACAAAACTTCAAATCCCAAAAAGTAAAAGTTAAAATCATGAAAATCACACGAAACGGGCGCATTAGCCAGTCGCCAAGCCAGTATTATACTAAATTTACCGAAACATTTTCTTTTTCTTAGATTTTTGGAAACTGAATAAAAATCGAACTTTGCCGGCATTGTGTACCAAAACCTAAAATTTTTTTGGCTAAATTAGCTTTCCACAATTTCCATGCGCCTAAAGTAATGATTTACATAGAAGAAGGAATACAAGGAATTATGCCATTTGAAAACGAACAATCCATTCAAGATCGGATTAGGAAATTGCCGAACCAGAATTAGAAAGAATTTTTTGAAACATTTTTTCTATGTCCTTTGTCTTTCCGGACGCGTTCTTTTGTGTTACCTAATTTTCCTACAAGTCAAGAAATTTTAATAATAACATATAGTTATTTGTAATAGTCTTCTTACCAAAATTTAACTGTGTTTCGACTGGAAAACTATCCAAATCAAGTCCAAAACTCTAAAAATGAAATCGTATTTTGGTCACTTTCTCAATAAACTTTTTTGGAATCGCGCGAACCAAAAATTATCTGAAAGATTATTATTTCCTTATGTCTCTTTGCTGGTTTCTAATGTAGAATTTCCGGCGTTAGTCTTTTAAACTCATTGTTAGGGAAGAAGTAGAAATCGATATTATTATATTCTTTAATTTCTAGGTGATATTCATTTTTCAAAGTAATTTATTAGCCATAAAAATATCTCTGTGACGAGGCGAAGATTATCGTAAATCCATCGCAAGAACTCGCATAATTGCGCGAAACATTTAATCTCTACGTGGGCATCCAGGCCGATTTTCCAGTCCAATACCGAATTTATACTTATAAAAATAATATACAATTTGTTTGCCCCAAATTAACTTTTATCTTCAAAAATTTCAGGGTAAAAACTGCACGTGGAACGAGCGGGAGTATGTCGATGGGCAAGAGTGGCACTCGTCACAGTGCGAGGTGGGGCTTCTTTTAAATTTTTTTGAGAACTTTTAAAACATTGTAGGCGGCGGCGGCGCTCTCTCGCGCTCTCTCTCCCTCTCGCTCACTCACTCACTCTATCACACCCTCTCCCTCGCTGCTCTCTCTTACTCTCTCTCTCTCTCTCTCTCTCTCTCTCTCTCTCTCTCTCTCTCTCTCTCTCTCTCTCTCTCTCTCTCTCTCTCTCTCTCTCGCTCACTCACTCTATCACGCCGTCTCTCTCTCTCTCTCTCTCTCTCTCTCTCTCTCGCTCACTCACTCTATCACGCCGTCTCTCTCTCTCTCTACCTCGGCTTTCTCTAAAAACTTCATTTAAAAAATCGCGTTTCATCGAGCCACCTAATTGCACATCTTTTAAATTTATGATTTTCGGAAAATTCTGCAATACATAAAAAAGCGTTTTCAGATCTGCAAATGCAAAAAAGGAGTGGCCCAGTGCTCGAAGATGACATGCCCCAAACCGCCAAGCAAGTTCTCTTGAGATTAGACTTTAAACTTTAAAAACTGAAGACGCTAAAATTGGAAGCCCATTCATTTTTTTGTGCCCGATGAATAATTAAATGTTTCATCAAACGTCCACCAAGCGCGAGGTTGTCGTGCCGTAATTTGCGCGATGTTTTGTTCTGACAAATTTCCATCATGGATTGAAAAAGCCACTCCAATCTACCCATCCATGAATGAACGATATTTTGCTATAATTTAAGCTAGCTGAATCTAATATTACCATTTATACTAGTTGGATCCAAAGCTTTTGCAGCCTTTTTTGATAACTTCGCGAAAAATGCATTGTTTCACAAAATTATAGTTAGTTTGATGGCAAGCAAACCATAATAAATCATTGATCAGGAAAGGTTTCAGTTTTTTTGGATTTTAGTGTAAATTAAAGCTAAAAATGATAGCTTTGTATCTTAATTATTGTAGGGTCATTTAAAGAGAATCCATTTTTGTTCGCGAATGGAATCCAAACAAACACCCATAAAATGATTGGTTTTAGTTATTTTTTCGGTGATTACTTCAAAGCAGCGGCATTAATTCGGCTTAATGTAATTTATTTCGTCCTAGTTTTTATGCTAGCGTGTTCCGGATCCTTCCAAAAGGCAAAAAAGAACAAGGAAAATAAATGTTTCAGGAAACCTCCACCAAAAACGCAAATGTTATCACCATAATGAAAGATCGAATTTTCGTAAACTTAAAAAATCTCAGAAAGTATAAGCTAGTGGCATGATTGGTTTTGCCATTTATGTTCCCTAGTTTATGTGATTCAAAATCATTTTAATTAATTTAATTGCATTTAAAGCGTTTTTATGCTTGGTTTTTGCGAACCTTTGGAAAAATGAAAAATAAATGTTGCATATCATTTTTGGTCGCCGCAAGATTTGTTCACCTTAATACAGATTTACCGACTACGCTAATTAAAAGTTCACTCACTTATTAAAATTAGGACCTGTTGAAATGGTTTAATTTAATTATACCTAAGTTTGTGGGGTCTATGCGGTATAAGATTTTTATTTTTATTTACTTTATTTCGTTAATACGTTTTATTGCACCTTTTAAAATGGCAAAAAAAAACGAAAAAATGAATGTTGCATAAAATGTTCAGTAGGCGCGAGATCTTAACATCTTAATATGACAATTCGCCGCCTTAAACTAATAAATATTTCAGTGAATTATCAAAATTACGTTGTTTTAGGTAATATTTAAGTAAAATCCTTTTTGTTACGTTTTATGGCAATTTTTTGCAGGCCGTTGCACGTGGGTGGGAGTACCAGCCGGGGAGTGTTGCCCCGTTTGCCTCGGCTGTCAATCGGAGCGTGGCGGGCAGTTGGAAAAGAAGAAGATGAAGGACGAGTGGGCAAAGGATGACTGCACCACGTGCGTGTTTCATTAAAAACATTTTTTCGATTTAAAAAGATTTAAGATTCAAGAAAAATAATTTTAATTTAGGATTTTAACAAAATAGATGGATAAGAAAAATTGCCGTCGCATTCCTAGTTTTAAGAACATCGCTCTATGAAACATTTTTTTAATTCGAGAGGATAAAATGTGGGGCGCTAGTTTTAATCATGTATTGTCAATTAAAAATGTTTCTATGTATTTTCAGGTGCACCTGCTCGGAGGAGGGCGAAAATCAGTGTGTGCGGGCGATGTGTTCGGTGCATTGCGAGAATCCGAGAAAGGTGGAAGGGCAGTGCTGCCCTGTCTGCGATGGTATGTTTTGTATAGTTTTTACTTTTTGCGTATACTGTTTTTAAATCAAAATATTCATTAACAAATCATTCAAATTGCGATGTAGACACCTTTGAGGTATTTCTGTCGCCAGTACTATTAACACCAACTCCAAAAAAGCTGGAGTAGCACTTTTTGAAACATTAGTTTCTCTTTAAATCCAATACCGGTGAAAAAACATTCTGGTTTTCGGGCTAAAATTAGAAATGAAATAGATTTTAATAAGAGAAAACAGACTATTAATATTTGGAAAATAAAATTGGCTAAACGAAAAACGTAGCATTACCGATCATCCAGATGGTTCAGCTAAGTCCCAGTCAATAGAGGTGACACCACAAAAATGAAACCCATTTTTTAAGCGGCTTCAGAATTAAATTTTTGCTAAAAACAAAACGCTATAATTTACTATCCAAATTTAACCGTAAAATTTATTAAATTGAAAGCGGTGAAATGGTAGACAAAAATATGATTCACGAAATTCAGAAAAAATATGTTTGGTCACAGACCCAATGCCCGAAAAACTTTCCCTGAAGAATCCGACGTGGCTAGAATTAGGAAGTTTCGGCAAAATTAAAAACTAACATTTTTAGAGCCGAATGCCTGAAAATATCAAAATATAGGGATACTGTATATACCTTAAAATCTCAAAATAAATTAACTTGGTAGAGCCGACGATTCTGACACTGCCCACCACCTGCCCAGCCATCGATCATTGCCCGTTGAGGTGCGCCAATGGACTCAAGGTGCGGTGTTTTTATTGTATTTATTTTAAATGGGGATTACTTAATAATAATGATAATAAAGATATTAATAACATAAATAGTCGTAGCTTAAAATTATCACCGCCCAAAATTTTTATTTTAGGCGGATTGATGAAACATGCGATTTCGAGCCAATTTTGTTCGTACGCTGGGCTTTTGCCTAATGCAAAAATTTTGCTGGTCGTTGCCAAGGAATATTGTGTACATTATTTTTTACTTTTCGCGAAGTTTACTTTTTCGTGGTTTGATATAATTTTAAATATTCGAGTTATGTTGAATCACAGCTTAATTTAGATATTTTTATTTTAAAATTCGAACCAAACCACTGATTTTAAAGCTATATGGATTAAAATTATTTTAAAGAAAAGGAGAAATTATGATTAGCATTAAAACCGGGTTAATCGTCACCAAAAAAATATTGAACAACCCATAGTGGACGGAAAATTACCAAAACTTATTATTTTTCTCCTAAAAATTTTTTGAAACAACACCATTTTTAAAAATCAAAAATTTCGCCGTAAAATGTGAGAATTTTAAAGCTGCAAATCCCTGGACTACAAACTACACCCAAATTGCAGCGCAACTCGAACGGATGCTTCGAATGTGAATGTCTGCCCCTTCACGAGCCACTCCCATCACAGTGCACCGAGTTGAGCAAGGAGAACTGTGAAAAGTCGGTTCCGTCTAGTTGGGTTAGGGATTGGAAAAATTGATGTAGGACTAGGCAGGCTAGCAAGCAGGCCTTTGCGGCTTTTCGTAAATCATAGAGGGTAGGCTAGCAGGGATCCTTGCGGAAATTGGTAAGCAGGCTAGGCAAAATGACATCGGAGGATACGCTGTCTAACTGTTAAACAAAATTGGTTGCCAGTATCAAAAAAAAATTGAAACAAACATTTGTTTTTGCGTATGTGTAAAAAGGAGAGAGAGAGAGAGAGAGAGAGAGAGAGAGAGAGAGAGGGAGAGAGAGAGAGAGAAGGAAAAAGATAAAGTTTTCCCGTTTCAAAAAAGTATTCATTTAATCCTCCAAATTCAAAAAACCATCCGAAATTCAACCAATTTAGAAGTTATTTTAGTTTTGCATAATTTACAAAAGAAGTATGACATATCAGCGCCCTATTAGGCGATTAAAGCAATTTATTTAATCCAAGAGAGCTGAAACTCATTAATTGCAAATATGTTCAGTTTCAAGACTTTTTCAGACAATGCGCACACGGGTACGCAAAAGACAGCGAGGGCTGTGCCGAATGTCGATGTGCCCACTGCCCTCCTCTACATCAATGTCTGAAACATTGTCTCTACGGATTCCACACAAATGCCATCGGATGCCCCGTATGCAAATGTCGAGGTAGCATTTCACTAGTATTTTTGTAAAATAAAACTAAATTTCAATTGCAAAAAAAATTGGATTCGAATTGGATCTTTTGTCTTTAGGAACAGAAAAACGCTCCTGAAACCCTTCCTCTATTTTTTATATAAATATTAGGATTTTGAAACCATCGACCATTTTCTCGAAAAATTCGTAAATCCTATATTAGAAACGTTAGGATTATAGGAATTTTCTATTGTATTTATTAACCTCTATCGTAAAACAACAGTTTTTGTATTTATTGGTTTTTTGCGTATGCCATTCAAACCTCAGAGATTAACTGATGCGTTTTTCAATGAATCCCAGAATCCCTTGCAACATATCCTTTTTCCAGCCAAAATCGACGCCAAGCTGACAATCTCGGACCGGCTGGACGCGCTCAGCGGATCTGATAGATGTGGTGCGTAGTAATATTTTTTATGTTTTTATGAATGACGTACGGATCAGGCTCAAGATGTCGCAGCCTGCAGTCATACATATTACTAATTTATTAATTTAATATTTATAATTATAATTATTAACCTTATGAAACCCGGGAAAACCTAATTTTCACGAAACATATTTTCACTAATAGGATTTTGAATTTAGCCAATTTCAGGAGAACCGAACTCAAACATAGCAATAAAATAAAGAAAAAGTGACAACTTTTCAGCTCACCCGCTGCCAAGTGGAAAAATCGTAGAGAGGGATGGCGGTGAGTGGTGGAATGATGGATGTCGACATTGTTTCTGCGAGCATAAGAGGGTACTTTTTTGATTTTTAATAATGGATTTAATTTTATAAAACATAAAATTACAATAAAAATATATTGCGCAAAGATGTAAAATATATGGCGCAAGGTGCTTTCCATAAAAAAGGTGATACATGAAAACCCGTTGTCGAAAACGTCCAAAATCTGATAATCGATTGTCGTATTACTGGGGTTCGAATTTTATTCCAGCCAGTTTCCACGTAAAAGAAAATGTCTGAAAAGTGTTTTTAGTAACTTTAAATATATTTGGGATGGAAATACCCTTTTTAAAAACCAAGAAAAATCTTCGTTGAGCTTTTGTCCGAAAATCGGCTATGGGGGCGAAAAATCGATATTAACTTTGTAGAGTTTTTAAGTTAATAGTATGAAACCGCGTAGAAATATTTCCTCTATTTATATTAAAAAAAGTGAATCCTTAAAAAAGTTTTGCCTTCCCCCCGTTAATGCAAAAGCACCTTAAATTTCGAAATACAGATAATTTTCTAGCTGGCTACTGGCGTGAATTGCCAAAATGCAACCTGCTGCAATAGGTTTTTTGAACGAAACACTGAATTTTAAGCAATAAATTTTTCTAATTTGTTTTTAAATTCGAGCTTTTCAGGAATTCTGCTCTCTTATCACCTGCCCGGAACGGCCGGACGAGTGCCCTCTAGATAAATGGGCTCAGAAAGAAGGTAGGAATTCGATTTTGCAAAGCCTTAAAGGGACAGACAAGGACACAAAGCGTGGATTTAGTCGCCGCATTAATTTCCAATTGCCAAGGTAGATGCGAGGCGAAAAAATGTTTCGCAAAAATTAGGCTTTTTCGAAATGTGTTGGTGTCTTAATCCGAACCGATGCACTTCTAAACGCTATTGCCGTAAGATTCCTTATGCTTTAATTCGAAAATCCATTGTCAAAATTAAAAATATATCTTTCCCATTATTTAAAAAAACGCAATGCGCCACTTTCAATGGCGTAATTGATTATTTTATAGCACTATGTCTTGGATTTGATTTTCGATTTTAAGGGCGCCAAAAAAATGTTTAGCAAAATTGTGTTTTGCTAGTATTGGAACCTGTCTTAATTGTCACAAATTGTCGCAAGATTTCCCTTAGTTTTTGAAGCGCCCGCTCGGGCGTAATTTCCTTGCGTAATCGGTTGCGCGCGTTGTAAACAAATAATTGGAAGATGAATAATAAATAATAGAATTTTTTGGCAGAAAAATAATAATATAATTATCCAAAGTTAAGATAATTCGTATCCAAAAATTCAAAGTCATTTATTGAATTTTATAATGCGGCTTCCTGATTAGTAAATAGATTTGAGATTTTGGATCAAATAAGTGAGAATTAAAGAAAGAACTTGAGTAGGAAGAACTGCTGTGAACGAAGCAGATCAGCTTTTGCTTTCTTGGAAAAACATATGTTTTTCTAAATAAACGTGAAATCGTGGTGTGCCAAGCTTCTTACTTCCCCGGATAAGTGCTCGTACCCGCTTCAGTAAAACTCTAGGAAACCCGCTAAATCTAAAAAACCCTGAAAAAGCATAGCAAAAAGGATGTTTCTGTCTTGAACATACAGTATGAATAAAATAGCGATTTGATTTTGCGAAAAAACCTCGAAATAAAACGCGCACTCGTTACATGATTTGTTTTGGCGACTTGATTAAAGTTTTTTTGATTAACTTCGATGTTTAACTAATTTAAATCATTTTATTTTTTCGTAAAATTTTTCGTTTCAATATACAGGGTGTCCCAAAAAAAAAAGCACCCCCCTCTAGCGGCGCGCAGTCGTGTCCGATTTTTATCGTTTAGGTATCTATCGAAAGCTCTTGAAAAGGCGAGAAACCAAGGAGGGTTCATTTTCTTTATTATCTATTTTTATTAGCAAATTTTACGTCCAAAAACCATGAAAACGGCTGATTTACGCGAGATCTGCATGCTAATCGCGAAATTCCTATTGAAAATCTACCTGTTTTTTAGAAGAACGTTGAATATCCAGCGTATAAAAATAAATCTCATAAAATGAATCCCGCTTGTTTTCTCGCCTTTTCCGAGAGCTTTCGAATGGTATAAAAATTATCCCGATCTGACTAGGGAAGTATCTGAACTTGCCATCGAACTTTGAGAAGTCAGATACACCATTCGACGCGCCGTGGCAAGAGGATTCCGAATATGTAATAAAATCAACGGGAGCGCATAACGGAAAAAAGTGATGAGCATTTTAAGTTTTACATTGAAATACGCCGCCGCGAGAAGAGCCCCTCCCAGCGCACCCTGTCCATCGGTCTCGTGGCCTAGTGGTTTGCGCATGGGTCTCTGGGCTGTATGACCAGGGTTCGGATCCCCTCACGATTTTTATTTTTTGCTTTTTGACCGGTTCCTACTTTTTGCATGTCCAAACTCGGGAATAATTTTTTTTTCTTTACTGGGTGACCCCTAAAAAGCACCAGCGATGAAAAAATAACCTCCGGCAACAAAACTAGGATTGGACGCTCTCTATATCAAAGTTGGCAAAATCGTCGGAAACCGCCCTTTTAAGGCTCTGTGCGAATTCGAATAATTTAATTTGTCAAGAATGGAACAGTACATCTTGATCAGCAGAGAATTCCCTTTCGAATGAGCTATCTTACCTGCGCTTTACGCCAAATTCTCGAAAAGTCTTTGGCTAGCTGGCCATACCCTACCCTTACACTGCATTCCAAAAATATTTTTTGCGGAAATTTTTGGCAGCCGTATGTAATATAGCTCATTTGAAAGAGCTTTTTTTGTTGAACAAGGAGCACTAATTAGTTTAGAATAAATTCCATTCCGCGGGATGATACAGGGTCTCAAAGATGTTGTTTTTCATCATTTTGCCGACTTTGAAGCCTCATAACTTTTTACCGTTATGCGCTCCCGTTGATTTTATTACATATTTGGAATCCTCTTGTCACGGCGCGTCGAATGGTGTATCTGACTTCTCAAAGTTCGATGGCAAGTTCAGATACTTCCCTAGTGAGCTTCCCCCGGACCGCTAGAGGGGGGTGCTTTTTTTTTGGGACACCCAGTAGTTAAAATTGTTTAAATTTCAGGTGAATGCTGCGCGTCTTGTGCGGGAAATTCTACCGTACCCCGACCGGGGTCCCGCCACGAACATACAGTGTGTCAGAGCCCGGGCACTGGACGCCTCTTTACGGATGGGGAGACGTGGCAATTGACGCCTTGCGTATCGTGGGTATTTTAGAATTTTAATAGACTTAATAAGATTTTTTTTTATTTATACAAAAAATCCACAAAAATATGAAAAACAAATAATAGTTAGTCAACATTTTTCACCTGTAACCTTTTTCGGACGTGCAATCCAGCCACAAACTAAAATTATTTTTATCCTTAAATTCCTCCAATTATGTGAAACATATTTTTTGCAAAAGCCGCGCTTTAGTGGTTTTTCTCCATGAAATCCGTATAGCCGCTGGTCACGAATAATAGGAAATTTTTACAGCATTTGACGCTAGTTTTTAAAACGAAAAAACCATTAAAAATTATAACAAATTAAGCAAAGTATTCAGGGGCGTAGCCAGGAAAAAATTTCGGGGCGGCCCCGAAAAATTTTTTTCGAAAAACTCAAAAAAGTAACGAGAAAACAGCGCCGCAGGCGAAAAATTTTGGAAAAAAGGCTATATAGCTCTACAAATAGCAGTAAAAACGTGAAAAAATAGCGCCGCAGGCAGCAAAATTTTTGAGAAAATAAAAATCATAAGGGTCCTTATGAAATTTTCGGGCCCCGGCCGATTTCGGGGCGGCCCCCGGGGCCGGTATTACGCTACGTCCCTGAAAGTATTGACCTTGGAGAAAAATGTATGAAAATCAACAAAAATAGCAAAATTTTCGGGTTTTCAACATTTTTATTATTTTCCGAACCCCCTACACATGCTACGAAAAACGCTATTAAATATACTATTTGTTATTTTTAGAAAAATAAATAAAAGAACTTTTAGCACCTCGCTAAAAATTTGCAATTTGCAGGGGGCACGAAAGAAAATTATATTTTTTAGTTTTGCAGAAACCGGATAAAAACAGAAACATGTTTTCGCAAAAACTCGGAGCTAGCCAAAATTTTTCCAAAAATTTACGGAAAAACATTCCAAAAATACATATTTTTTAGTTGTACGTGCCGCGTGGGGTACGTGCTTTGCCGTGCGGCCACTTGCCCGGCCGTGGCTTGCGCGGAGCCGATAGCTGATCCGGAACGGCCATGTTGTACTACGTAAGTCTTGAGCCACCACTTTTTGCGCATTAATCAATTGGGTCTTTTGTGGCTTTTCTATGGTTTTTGTCAAAACATACACTTTCCAAAAAGGACTGCTTTCGATTTTCTTGATTTGACCCACTGAGATATTTGCATCACCCCAATTTTTCATGTGGTTTCTATGGGTTTTGGTCAGAACATACAAATTCTAACAAAATTTTTATTGTCCTCAGGCGACTAGGAATCGACAGTTATACCGACAGGTTGATTGCACCTTTATTTATATGTTATTTCATCTTCAAAAATGTTCTTTCGCTTCAAATCAAGGCAAAAAACGATTTTTTTTTTACATAAGTCCCGAATTACCTAGTGACGAAATAGTAAGTCTTTTAATAGTGTTTTGGTATTTAACCGCTAATCCCCCCTCCCCCGATAATGCAAAAGAAACGATTTTTTAACAGGGAGCCAGAATGTCGGATGTAGTTGGAAATGATAACAGTAGATGACGGAGGTTTTTCTAAAAATCCCTGAAATAAGAAACATTTTTCTCGGCAGAAATTTGGAAATTTTTGACATTTTTGCAAATCCAAATTCTTTTAATTTTGCCGGTTTTTTACCTTGATTTAAAATGGAAGTTTACCCTTTTTGATCCATAAAATTTAAAATTAAAAAAATAAATTAAAATAAACTTATTTTCCAGCTGTACTGGCGAGGAGAAAACGACGGATGGGGCCGTGATCTGTACGGACGAATCTGGAACGGCACATCCAAGTGGAGAACAATGGAGGACTGACGATTGTATGTTTCAACAAAAAATTGCTAGAAAAACTAACAGCGGTGGAGTATTTTGAGCACCTTTTGAACACAAGTACCGATTCCCATTTTTTATATTTAGAAAAATGCTTTGATAAAAGGTAATGATTTTTTAGATTTAACAGCATTCGGGAATTTACCAAGTTCATAAAAACGGTATAACAGAATTATTGCCAACCCGATTAGTGCAAAGTAGAAAAAATCCTTTTGGCAATATCCTGAAACATTTATGAATAACCAGGATTTTCTTATGCTCTAAAAATAACTTCGCCTTAAACAATGGAAGAAATTCTGTTCAAAACTTGAAAAAATGGGTTTCAAAATCATGAAACACTTGAATTCTTCCTAAGCTGAAAATTAGTCTTCGCCTTTGCTAGATAAAATCCAAGTATGGTCCCAGAAGTTGTGCAGACCGCGTTGTGAGATCAGCAGCTTTTGCTTTATCGGGAGAGCGGGATTTTTTTTCGTAAAACCGGGAAAAGTTAGACAATTTTTTGTTTCGATTGTTGAACGACGAACAGCTAATTATCTGAAGGATCAGAAAACATGATTTGAAAATTTATGAAACACACGGTACACATAGGGTGACCGTGAATAAAATAACGGGGGCACTCATTATTTCAAATATTTCAATTATTGTGGAATTTCGGGGGGGGGGGGCATTCGACAAGGCAGCAAAAAATATACTTCGAGAATTATTTAGAGCACAAAAAATGCAATACAAAAAGTTTTACAGCATAAAAATTATGCTGGAAAACGATGGGCAGCAAAGAAAAGATCGGAAGGCCGAAAAATATATACCATGAGCTTTTTATAGCCCGAACCATATTTAAAGGTATGCGCGCCAAGAAAAGGGTATTATCTTAAAATTTGAAGAGGTTGTGTTGCGAAATTATGAAACATGCTGGAATGATGCCGAACCCAAATACCTGCGTTTCTACTACTATCAAAAAAATGTTTTGAAAATTTACGAAACACGTCTCAATTTATTTTAGGTACCTCTTGCACGTGTACGGTGGCCGGGACGATCGAATGTTTCCGGGAATCGTGTCAGGACCCAGATACGCCGTGTAAAGGAAAGCTTTTGGCGGTGAAGGGGAGATGCTGTCCGCTGTGCTCCGGTGGGTTCAAAATAGATCAAAGGCTAATTCTCTAAATTATTCCGAAAAATTACCCATTACGAACAATAGAAAAAAGCTATCAATATACCAAAGAATCAAGGTTTGACAAGTATTTAAAAAAATGTGTTTCATGCTTGGAATGATTTCAAAAACATTATGGCGAGTTAATTCGATTCTAAATTCCTGCGATTAAAATTCTTTGGTTTAATCAATTTACTTTTTTTAATTTAAACTTTTCCTTTTCCAGTTTTTAAATCCATTCGATACTGTCTTGAGCCAATTTACCGCCTACTCAATGGCACGGTTAAAATTTTGTGTTTTTGGAAATTCAGGGTAAAAATTAATTGTTTGCTTGTTAATTTAGCACAGTTTTGTTCTCTTTGATTTAATTTCTATAGTTTTTCAATCAAAAATTTGTTTTTCAAACATTTTAACTTATTTAGACGGTTTTGAGCTAAATCGTGGCTTCGTGCAAGAATTAAAATTTTGTGTTTTAGAAATTTGCAGTAAAAAAATGGAATTATTAATATGTAATGCAACTCTACTTGCGAAACATCTATATTGCGAGACTTAAAGGGGCTCCGAACTGCCAAATCAAAGCCGTTTGGAAGGCCTCTTTGATTTCTGGCAAATTGCCAGCGAGCGCTGCGGGACGAGAGCCCTCACTTTTTCGATTTTTGCGCGAAGTTGTTTTTGCCCGGTTTCTTTGGGAAAACACTATAATTCACGAATTCCGAGCCCATTTTTGAAATCCTCACTCGATTTTAAACAGTTTTGGTGTTTTAATCATCAAATTTGGCCCAGAAACAGCCGAGAACGTGATTTCGAAGTGACAACAGGCAATTTTCAAATTTGCGAGCTTCCCGGTATACATGGGTCGACGCAGGCCAGCCACGCTAATGCGCCGCATTAGCGTGGCTGGCCACGCTCTTCCGGAGCGTGGAGAGCCACGCTGGCGCGCGTGGCTCTTAACAAACCACGCCAAAATGAGCGTGGCTGGCCACGCTCCGGAAACACTTATGCAAAGTTTCAAAAGATGCAAAATCAACATTTTCCAAGGGCATGGATACGTAAAAATCGATACGTTTCAAGAAGTTAAGTATCAAAAAGTTAAACCACTATCTATAATGTTTATTTATGAAAAATTAAACAGGCACTTGATTGTTATGTATCGGTAATCCACTTTAGCAAATCGAAATCATAGATGTATGGCGTTTCAATTTTTGATTTGCATCTCGAGTTAAAGTGTGAGCGTGAAAAATCACGCATAAAGCGCCGCATAAGCGTGGTTCTCCACGCTCCGGAAGAGCGTGGCCAGTCACGCTTATGCGGCGCATGCAAGCGTCGACCCATGTATACTTCCCGGGCCCCTGGGTGTACAGAGGCCTCCGACGGCGTCCGGTCACTACCCCGAAAAGTCACTACCCCGAAAGTCACTACCCCGAAAGTCACTACCCCGAAAAGTCACTACCCCGAAAAGTCACTACCCCGAAAGTCACTACCCCGAAAGTCACTACCCCGAAAGTCACTACCCCGAAAGTCACTACCCCGAAAGTCACAACCCCGAAAGTCACTACCCCGAAAGTCACTACCCCGAAAGTCACTACCCCGAAAGTCACTACCCCGAAAGTCACTACCCCGAAAGTCACTACCCCGAAAGTCACTACCCCGAAAGTCACTACCCCGAAAGTCACTACCCCGAAAGTCACTACCCCGAAAGTCACTACCCCGAAAGTCACTATCCCGAAAAGTCACTACCCCGAAAAGTCATTACCCCGAAAAGTCACTACCCCGAAAGTCACTACCCCGAAAGTCACTACCCCGAAAGTCACTACCCCGAAAGTCACTACCCCGAAAGTCACTACCCCGAAAGTCACTACCCCGAAAGTCACTACCCCGAAAGTCACTATCCCGAAAAGTCACTACCCCGAAAAGTCATTACCCCGAAAAGTCACTACCCCGAAAGTCACTACCCCGAAAGTCACTACCCCGAAAGTCACTACCCCGAAAGTCACTACCCCGAAAGTCACTACCCCGAAAGTCACTACCCCGAAAGTCACTACCCCGAAAGTCACTACCCCGAAAGTCACTACCCCCGAAAGTCACTACCCCGAAAGTCACTACCCCGAAAGTCACTACCCCGAAAAATGATAGCATTGTTTTTCCCGGAAAAATCCAGTTTTCATGCGGTTTTCTTATGAAAATCATGTAAATTATTTCGGGGTAATGACTTTTCGGGGTAGTGACTTTTCGGGGTAGTGACTTTCGGGGTAGTGACTTTCGGGGTAGTGACTTTCGGGGTAGTGACTTTCGGGGTAGTGACTGTACCCCGCTCCGATGTACAGGGTTCAGATTTTCGGGCCGTCACTCAATTTTTGGCAGTTCGTAACCCCTTTAAGAAACCTGAAAATCTATCCTACTTTTAAAATTTTATTTTGATCATTTGCTGGCCCACTCCCTTTAAAGCCACTGAAGGGATGGGTAAAGCAAAGTAAATCTATGATTTTCCACAGATTTTAACGGGATGCGACACGCGACGCGACTTGCGACGCGCTTTTTGCTGCGTAATCGATTACGATAGTTTAGGCGGGGGAAATGAACTCGGTTTTCTTTAAATGCAGTTTTTATACTACTTTTAATTTTTGAAATTAAATTTTTAAATATTTTTTGAAATAAAAAGTTGTCATGATTTTTGATTATTTAATATTATTTTTAGACGCGTTCGAGTCGGGCTCAGTGTGTCGATATGAGAATGAAGTGTACACGTATCGAGAGGAATGGCGAGATGGCAATTGTCGAAATTGCACGTGTCAACAAGGTATGTGTGTTTCAGTGAATTTCCATGTTGAGTGAGTTATTTTCCAGTGCAGTTCCAGGTACAACCCCAAAATTTGATAAAAGGATTATCCGGTCCCAATTTTCTCTGTTAGCCTGCCCCTATCGTTTTTTTAGTTTCTGGAAGACTAATAAATAGATATTTCAATTATATGTTAAGAAATTAAAATGATATATTAAACGTGAGTTTTATGTTCCCAAACCGTCTCTGCTAGCCTGCCCGTTACTCCACTTCTGTTTAAAAATTCCATAGTTAAATTCCATTCCTAAAAGACCGCTGCTATTAAATTCGGAATGCACTGGGTAATATAAATCATAAATTTTCCGATATTTCAAGTTTGCTGGAACATATTTTCTTAAAAAAATTTTTGCTGTACGTCAAACAACTTTTTAAATTAATTTAATTTTATAATTCCAGGCGGTCAAACGGTTTGCCGCGAAGCGGTGTGTCCACCATGCAACGATCCGGTCCCGATTGAGGGCCAATGTTGTCCGCTGTGCAAAGGTAAGGGAAAACCAGACATGGCAATTTCGGTCGGCCGGCCGACGGCCGCATTAGCATAAAAAATCGGCCGTTTCCGGGCCGCCGACTCTATGCAAATGAATTCCGGTCGGCCGATCGGCCGGCCGAATTTTTTGGTCGGCTCGGCCGCGGCCGCGTCGGCCGGCCGACAATTCACACTTGAGAAAAAGTTTCACAGAAACGTGTCGCTGGCGCCTCTAAATTTTGAATAAATAAGGAATGGGTTTGGGCATTGGTTTTCACTATTCCCTAGGATGCCTTCCTACCAAATTTTATTTAAAAATCTTTATTTTATGTGGGGAAAGCGTACTTTTATGTCAACCCTGAATTTTTTGGAAGGTTGCCGGCTTCAAATATAATTCAATTTTGTAGTTTCAAGTAACGCAAAAATTTAGCCAGGACGTTTCTATGACGAGTTGGCCTTTAGTTTCCTGAAAAGTTTTTTAATTGAATCGTTTTGCTGGCGATAAAGCAAGTAGTGATGATAAAGCAAAGCAACAGCCACGTCAAATCCGTTGTAATCACGTCTAACCCTAGACCGTTGTAACCCCATTATTTAACTAATTTCCTCCGTCTAAACATTTTTGGCCAGGTAAATCCCTTCATTAGCATCCAAAAATCTAATTTGCTTGCGGTTTTTTGGCCGTTTCCGGGGCGCGCGGCCGGCCGACATTTCGGCCGGCCGATTTGGCCGATTTGCCATGTCTGGGGAAAACTAATGATTAGGGGTTAGAAAAAGTGTGCAGCAATTTATGAGAAGCTAAGAATTGTTTTAAACCAATTAATCGATGTTTCGCACATGACGATTTAACTGAAATTTCGAATTCTGGCGGTTATTTCATTCGCCGAAACAGAACATCGACAGTCATTTGGTCGACATTTAAAACGAAAATTGTCGAAAATTTTGGTTTCGAAAGACATTTTGTCGAAATTTAGCACGCCGAAAAGATTTTGTCGAGAATTTGGGCGTCGAAAATCGTTTTGTCGACATTTTAATATGCTGAAATTTCAATTTTCTATCTTTTCTAGATTTTTTAAAGATTTTTGTTTAATTGCCCCAGGCCGTTCGAAAAATATCAGATTAAAATTACAAAATCAAGAGATTCAGACTGAGTTACTAGATTAGGCCAAAATGAAATTTTTTTGGTCGTAGTTTTTATCTTATTTTTAGACCCTCGGCGTAAAATGACATCCAAAATTCCATGAAGAAATAAAAATCGTCCTGTTCTACTTTTCACCCGATTTTTATTTGGATCCCAAACTCAAACTATTGACCAACGAACAGCAAAATTAATTTTTTTACCTTTTGTTTTGGTAAAACATTTCTTTTTCAGACCCCTGGCGCGAGATGGGTTCCGGGGATGGGCATACTGTAGTCGGTCCCCCATCCTCTTCTTCATCTTCTCAAATTGGAGGGATACTGTGGGTGGGAGGGGTGTCGATTCTCCTCATCATTGCTGCACTCGCCCTGCTGTATCTTCTCAGGAAACGACGCGAAACGGCTAAACAACCGGTACGTTTTATTCAAATTAAAAGCATTTTTGTTACTATTATTTTTGTAATTCACAAATTTTAATGTTATTTTAATATTATTCAATAACTGTTGAAAAGAGAGAGAGACAGAGAGAGAGAGCGAGAGAGAGAGAGACAGAGAGAGACAGAGAGAGAAAAAGAGAGAGTGCGAGAGAGATATAATCAAAAATTTTCGCAGCATTTTAATCAAATCAAAGCGAATTTCCATCTAAATTCACTGGCCAGCAATCATTGTAGAGTCCATTACGAAGATATTTGACACATCTAAAGGCTATTAAAGCTCAATATTGTTTTGTGAGGAAATTAGCATCTTTATCCACTTTTTCGACAATTATTGATCACAACAAATCGAAATGTTTTTTTTTGGTAATTTTTTAATCGATTAAGAAGCTTCTCGAACGAATTCAATCTTTTTTTATGTTTTGATGTTTCGGATAAAATATAAGGGTTGCTTATGTAAGACAACAGGATTCATTGTTCTATGTAGCTGATTCAACTTGCAAATTAATTAAAATCACTAAAATATATGAACTAAAATTATAAACGGATTTTGGCAATTTATTGTCAGCTTTTGTTGTTTTAGTTTGCTCGATAATTTTTACAAAATTTAGGTGTTATTGATTTAATTCCCAATTACAAGTTATCAATCGACTATCCATAATTTTCTACGGTTTCAGAAAGTGAGCGAAAAGTCTCCGCTTGTAGGTTAAAAATTCAAAAAAAGTGTTGGAAAAATATTGGGAAATTCGGATTCCTGTGGTGGCACTAATTTATGCAATTTTTCAAATTCTTAATTGAGCCAAATAAAAAATAATTGATAATGAATTGTATAAATTAGCTCAATGCGTAAATAGTACGAAATAATTTTAAACATATTAATATCTTGTTTCAAAGTAGGCATTGATAATGTCGCAAATATAAATACAACGAATCAGATATTAAATTACTATATATAACTTTTTAATGTTTCAGAAAGTGAGCGGAAAGGTGCAACTGTCTTCCTGTCGAGCCCACGGTTCTCTGCCCCATTTGGCGGATGGGCCATTTGAGAAGAGAAGAAGGGATACGGACACGGATGGACAGAGCGAATCACTACTTTCCACCACGTATGTTTATTTTAATTTTAATTTGGTTATTTAATCAGAATTTTGAACATTAAAAAACGTGCTTTTAGACTTTTAAAAAATGCTAAAAGAAAAGCTAACACTGCTTGATAATTAACTTCGATTTGAATGCAAAAACGTTTAAATATTTACAAATACAAAGTTTAATTTTCCCAATCTTTCCCAAGTTTTATTCTATAATCGTTTATTCCCATAGCACTAAAATACCGTAGCCAGAGAAAATGCCGACAGCAAAAATCCCCGCCAGCTATACCCCGAAAAAATTTTTAAAAATGTGTTTCATTAAAAATTAAAAAGGCCCAAATTTGGCTTGTTATATTAGATGCAGAGGTTGAAATTTCGTAATTTATTAATGAACAGGGGATACCGAGAAATACTGACCGCGAAAATGCCGAAACAGTACCGACAATGCAAAATACCGATTATGGAGCTCTAAAAAATCGGCTTCATATCAAACAAATAGGATACAATAAAGCCTGATATGAACAAAAATGCCGAAAAACGCTGAAATTTTTAGCAAAAACAGAATCAGTTAAAAATGCCGACAAGCCAAAAGTTCTTAAAAATGACGGTTTTTTCGTTATTTCTGCTTTTCCATTCGGTATTTTTACCTAGTTTTGAGGATCAGGGGGCTTGTCGGCATTTTGTTGTCATATTCTACCTACATTACTGATGAGAATCACCATATATATCCTATATTATCGTATCGGTCTTTGCCCTTCTTTAAATTTAAAACGAAACACCCTTTTTTAATACATTTTAGTACCGAAATATACTGTAGAAATTTTTGGGCTGTCGGCGTTTTAGCTGTCGGCATTTATGGGTCACGGGGGGCCAGTACACACCATCAGAATTCACATAACATTAAAATTAACAATTAAAATAAAATTACCTTAAAATCAAATTGATGTTTAAAGGATTTTTGGCGAAACATTTCCTCGCAACGTCCAAAATCGAGCAAGATAAATGTCAATTTTTAGCAAAACAACCCCCCGCCTAGCGCGATGGTATTTTTTGCGAATTTCCGTTGTATTGTGCTCCCTCTATCGTACTCGTCAGAAATACGTAAAATTATAGGGCGCGTTTCCATCCTGAATTCTAGTCTCAAATTAGCCTGGATAGCTTAAAAACCATGAAACACAGAAATTTATTTAAGCATAACTTTTCTAGTTGTCGTTAATTTACACTCAATAAGAAGGAGAATTTCGTTTTTAACGCATCGGAGCTTTTGCATTATCGGGGGGGGGGGGGTTCTAGGCCAAGGAGCGCTTTTTCGATTTTCGATTCGATAGATTTTCGCTACTTCGGTTTGGTAGCTGGAGATCAAAAATGGTCACAAAGGCCTTGTCGGCATTTTTGTTGTCGGTATTCTGGATGACGCTCTCCTGTCTGTCGGTATTCTAGCTGTCAACCAGCCCGTATCTAACCAATTACGACCTTACGACCTGCCCTTAATACCGACACATACTGTCGAAACTATTGGGTTGTCGGGGTTTTGGGTGTCGGCATTCAGGGGCCAAAGGTCCAGTGAAAAACATTAGAATTTAGATGCAGCAGCCGACAATTAAGTTAAGCTGAAATAATTTATGAAAGATTTTTGCTGAAACATCCCTCGGCAACTTCCAAAACTTTAATGAAAAAAAATTGATTTTAGCAAGACCACATCCGCCTAGCGGGCAGGTATTTTTTTGGGAATTCTGTTGTATTGTGCTCCCTCTATCGTCTCCCTAAAAATATGTAAAATTATAGCGATAGGTTCCCATCCACGATTCTAGTCTCAAACTTATCAGGATAGCTCAAAAAACATGAAACACAGCTTTTCGAGGGGTCCCTTTTGTATCTCGCGTTAATTGACCGTTTTTAAGCGCGAAAGTGAAGTTGTTTTAGTATTTATCTCTTTTTACTTATTTGTTTAGTTGTTTGATGAAAGATGTGCAGTTTATTGAGGATCTGCTAAAATGAAGATTTAAGAGTTTTCATAATGGAAAACTTTGGAAAATTTTTATGTCTAATACGATAATGACGAAATGTAAAAATAACGTAGTAGAGAACTAAAAATTGAGAGTAATTTTATCTGGTTATTATCTTATAAATGGTCTCCGCGTTAATTGATTTTACCTGAAACATTCTAAAAAATTCCGGTAAGCACTAGCTGGTTTATTAATTTGCATATTAAACATTTGGCGCAGCTATGTATTCTTTTCGTCAATTGCAGGTGGTATTAATTAAGTATTCAATTTTGCTCATTTAATCAACTTTTAGCCGGATTGAACGGGAATTAAAATACGAGATTTTCCCATTATCGGCGGGATCGATTTTTTTCTAAAAATCAAATTTTTCATACTACAAATATAGCAATTGTCCATTGGCTTTTTTGCTATTACCAAACGTTTTATTTTAAAACTTTAAAATCTAAAATTATTTTTCGAGTACAAATTTTGATGGCAAAATACAAAAATATCGATTTTGCAAATTTTTAATTTTTACGTGCTTTAGTTATCTTTCCAGCTTTAATAAAGTTAAATGTTGCTAAAAATACTATTAAAATATTTACTAATGGGACTACCTATCTGGGCATATGCCAAAAGTTCCTCCCCCGATAATGCAAAAGAACCAAATCTGCGCTTAAAATTGTGGTGTCTTAGAATTCAGTTACAATCCCCTTAGTAAAGTGAAATAATCCCTGTTTTATTTGATATAATTTATATAACGTATTTTTATCCTATTTCGATAGTATATTATTGTTACAGCTCGGAGTCGTCGGCCGGGATGTCGCAGGGTTCGACCCATTCCGAGGCCCATCTTCTCTACCAGCCCGTCCGGTACCATGTTTAAAAAGTGAATTTTCAAGTTTAATTTGAGTTCATTTCTTACATTTGTCATTTTAATATTCGGTGAATTCTTGCGATTCTACCGTACCCCCGTTCTCCCAATTGCATTTATTCACTTTATGTGTTTTTATTGTCAAAAACGGTACTGGACTGTTAGCGGGGGGCTAATTTTGGTATTTCCGGTCCTGTAAATAATATTTGATCATTCTCCTAGTCTTTTTAGTAGTTTTTGGCTGCTAACAAAAAATTAATTATTCTCAAAAATTATTTTAGAAAATGTGAAATTTCGAGAATTCGAGCTTTTTAATCATTTTTGAAACATTTTTCGTCAAATAGTGGAAAACTTCCAAAATCGTTATTATTTTTTACCAGTTTAATCATATCTAAAATTGTGTAAAAACCCATACAAATGGCCTATATTTCGCTATAGAACTGCATGGGACTAGTTGAAAACATTTGCTCCCCCCGCTAACAATCCAGTACCGTAGAATTTCTTTTGGTACAATTTTCCCCCCAGTTTCTAGTCTCTTTCTGGGGGTGGAAGGAATGCGGTGGAATTGCAAGTTTTTCGAAACATATAGGTTAAAAAAATTGATGTTAAAGCGGATTTGGGAATTTCATGCTTGAATGTCATGCTCACGCGAATTGGCGAGGTTTTTGTTTGCCGCGACTATGCAACTAACTCAAACACATTTTTATTAAAAATTTTTATACCACTTACTTATACGCTACGTCCCCGACTATGAGACTTTAATAGCTGGATTTTCCTGTTTTGCAAAAACCTTTTTCTTTTTCTTTTTCCAACCGTTTTCCAATTTTTAGTAGTCTAGAAAAAAACTAGTAAGGGCAATACTTTAATTACTCTAATTAAATTTAATTTTCCCAATATTCAAAATTAAATGTCGAAAATTTCGAAAATTTATAAGCAAATCTGAAAACGTCGAAATTTCAGAATTTTCCAAATAAAAGTATAAGTTTCACAAAAGGCTATATCTCAGCAAATCTCTTTTTCGCTAATGTTCTTACTTTACGGCTGATTCCGCATAATTCCCCCAAACCGCAATACTTTAATTATTCAATTTTCAAAATTAAAAAGCATCTTTTTGTTAGATTAAACAGCAAAATACCGAAACAATCTGGAAAAAGAAAACCCGTAATTTGAGAAAAATTAAAAAGTTTCATAAAAAGCATTCAGCTATACATCTGCAAATTTGTTGTTCGTGAATTGAAGGTTTCGGTGTATCTTGCAATACCCCGCTGCACTGCGACTTTTTAATTAGACCGATTTACCTCACTTTTCCGAATTCTCAGATTTGAAATCTGCGTTCTTTGTTATAAAAATTCCAAAGATTTTCTGGAAAATCAAAAAACCGACATTTGAAAATTTTGCCAAAAATAAATTATAAGTTCCATAAAAACAAATACCCCAGCAAACCCGTTTTTCACCAGATTAGAGCCTTTTACCTATGTACGCAAAATTCCATTACGCACCACCTTCCACCCCACCTCCACTCCGTCCAGAGTATTCCCCCGTTCAACCCCGGTAGCCCCGCCCATTTTCCCTCTTTACGCACAAAACCCGTGCGTAAAATTTGTTGTATCACGTAGTCGTATCCCTAAAACGAAACTATAAACACTAATCTTTGGAGCTTTTGCATTATCGGAGGGCATCAAATTTTTCCTTAAGATCCAATTTTTCTAATATCAATAGAGGAATTTTTCTAAACCTATTTTTAGTATTTCTAAACATAAAAACTTTACAAAATTTTATGAAAAAAATTTAATATTTTGTATTATATTACCAGATATTTCTGGGTTTAAAAATTCTCTGCCCCCCCCCCCGATAAGGCAAAAGTACCTAACCCCAGAAAATTCTCATCAATACCGGTCCCTCAAAGTCCACCCCCAAAAAAACCCCGATAATACTAATGATAATAATAATAATATTACAAACCACTACCCAATTACAGTGCGTAATCGTGTACAAAGTGTCGTGTGTACTTTTGATGCTTTTTGTGTGTTGCTTTTCACTTTTTTGAGCTGACTTTCCCTTCCCACTCCCCCCCCCCATTTTTTGGCAATTTGAATACTGATCTGATATGCACAAAGTTGTGGGTTCTTCTTCTCTTCTCCTTCGCAGTTCGTTGTGAAATGATAATAAATTGTGTAATAGTCATTTTTAAATACAGTAATTTTAAAAATATTTTAAAGGCTAAATTTTCCAGATCAAGGTAGCCTGGAAAATACCGTAATTTATCGCGGCAATTTCGAAAGAGAAACCGTAGCAAGATATGCTAGAAGCTGCAATTTTCAAGGGGCTTCGATCGATAATTGCGAAATTGTAGATCAGTAATCTAAAAAATTTTAACATTCTTGCCCTATGATAATCTAAATTTAATTTGCAATTTGTAGTATGGGCTAGAAAATACATTTCTTTAGGCCTACCTTTAGAGAACTGAAACTAGCCTACCTTTCAAACCATAACGCTCGTTTTGCTTTACATACTTTCACTTCTTTTTACGACGTTTAATTGGCTATGGTACTGGGCTGTTAGCGGGGGGGCAAATCCTCATAATTCGAAATTTTAAGCGTTTTTATCATTTTTTTACATCTAAAACTGTGTAAAATGCTGGAAAATGTTTCCATTTCGTTATCGGGCCGTACGTCTCGCTCTCTATTTGGCTATCTCTTGCTCTCTCTCTCTCTGTCTCTCTGTCAATCTCTCTCTCGCTCTCTCTCTCTCTCTCTCTCTCTCTCTGTTTCGCTATCTCTCGCTCTCTCTCTCTCAGTCTTTCTCTTTCTCTGTCTCTCTCTCGCTCGTTCTCTCTGATGCCGAGGTCTCGAAGCAATAAAAACATAACCCTTGCCAGGACCGGGGACCGAACCGGAGTCCCCAGGTTGGCAAGCACGACCACTAACCACTTGGCCACGGTTTTCGACGCCGAATTCTTGAGTAAAATCGATTATCTGCGCATTTTTTTCTTCAGCGAATCCGCAATGTTACGATGGCGTCACTGCGCCGCCTGTGGCCGCAGCCAATCGATGACGCCATGTAAATGAGAATTGACGGGCCATTCTGCTATTTGTATTTGTTGCTTTTATCGTTAATGTTAAGCGATTTTACATACATTTTGTACCTCCTGAAAGGCATACATCATGAAGTTTCATGGCGTAATCGATTGTAAGAAGCCTATTTTCATGGCGTAACCGATTGGAAAAAATTTTTTTTCATGGTGCAAGCAATTCGAGCGCTTGATTTTGATAACGTAATCGACTGGAAAGTCCCATTTCCATGGTGTAATCGATTTTCCGTGTGATTCTCATGGCGAAGCAGATTCATTTTAGAGGGTTTCCTAGCCTAACCGTTTATTTTGCGGTTCCCGGCGTAATCGATCGATTTTTCCTGATTTTCGTTGCGTAATTGATCCCCCCAAAAGCTTTATGGCCCATTTCAATAGTGTAGCCGAATAAATCGGACGTGATGACAATTATTGGTGAGGCCGAACTGCCGCGTGGTCGGTTGTGTTTCGTGGCCAAACGCTTCGAAAGTTGTCGACGTCAGCTCGAACTTCCCTCTAAAAAATCTGCAGTGAGGGAGAGGGATCGAAACGAATTTTCCAGATGAGTTCAGCGCACAGGCACGTGGCCAATTGGTTAGTGGCCCGGCCTGCCGGTCTGACGTCCCGGGCTCGACCCCGGGCCGCGGCAGACTTTTTGATTTTTGCTCCGAACGCTCAGAATCGGCTATGTAGCGGGTGCAGATATTCCCCCTTAAAATCCGAGAGCATAGCCGTTTACGACAGGTTTTGTTCTCCGTCATACCCGATAGATGTGTCGCAGATGGGCGTAGACCTGCTGTCGCGACGCATAGTTGTGCGCCACAATAAAATTCGCAAACGTTGAATCGTATATGGGCATGCCTTTGTAGATCTCGGGGAAACGGAGTCGGATGGACAGATCGATGCGGTACACCTAAGTTTGAAATAGAGAGAGAGAACAAGAGAGAGAGAGCGAGAGAGAGAGAGAGAGAGAGAGAGAGAGAGAGAGAGAGAGAGAGAAAGAGAGAGGGAAAGAGAGAGGGAAAGAGAGAGGGAAAGAGAGAGTGAGAGAGAGAGAGAGAGAGCGAGAAAGAGAGAGGGAAAGAAAGAGAGAGAGAGATAGAGAGAGAGAGGGAAAGAGAGAGAGAGAGAAAGAGAGAGCGAGAAAGAGAACAAGAAAGAGAGAGAGAGAGAAAGAGAGGCCCACCTGTATGTCATCTCCCTCTATCGTGTCATCCATCATTTTGGCCACTTCTTCCAACATCCTCTCATATTCGATCTGCAGATTCGGAAGAGGCGGGGATTTTATCAATCTGCCTCCACCTGGAATCTCCTCCAAAATTTGGAGGATATTGGTGTCGAGGATGACCAAACGACATCCATCTGCTGTCTCGGGTCTCGGCTGTAGTGTGTATTCTATGGATACCTTTGAGGGTAGATTACCGCTTTGATGATGTGTTCGAGAAGTTGTTTAGTGAAACAAAGTGATCGGATGGCTGAGGTTTCTCTTTTATAGCGTTGCTGCAGATGAACCACTGGGCAGTTGATTAACTGGAAATGAGGGGTGGAGAGCGAGAGAGAGAGAGAGAGAGCGCGAGAGAGAAGCACAGATACAGAAATTTTCGACAAAGATTCAGCGTCGAAACGCGTGGCCAAGTGGTTAGTGACCTGGACTGTCAATCTGGCTACCCGGGTTCGACTCCCGGCCTCGGCAGATAATTTCCTTTTTTTGCGCCAAACGCGCAGAATACCTTATTGAATGCATCCGAATGAACATCAAGGTAATCTTCGGGTCGTGGCCCTCCTCCAAGTACAAAAGCCACATCCGGCACGAGATCGGCCGGTAACCAGGCGTCTAGTCGTAAATATCTACAAACACAGCCCGGTTTTTGCTACCACTTCCTATCCTATAAGCGAGAAAAGTATGTGTGTTTTCTGTGCAGCCGATTTCTCGGCCCTCAGG